TCATTCGTGCTCAGTGGATCAACCGATGTATTTTGCTTGTCATCATTTTTCTGTTTTTTACTACATTCCTGAAAGACATCATAGAAATGTGTGATATAAACCAAAAACCACTGCTCAAAAAACATTTTTAACTAGGTCTATGACTTCAGATTGTGTGTTACATTTTTCCAACATGTTTATTACAATGAAAACATTGATGGGAAGTTCACCTGCTTGGCTTTTACAGCTTTGGGTGTATTTTTAACACTGGGGGCAGGGATAAGGAAAGAGAGCAGGGAGAAAGGTACTGCAGTATATATGGCAACCAGTATAGCAGGGGTGGCCAGCCTGTGGCTCCGGAGCCACATGCGGCTCTCTTCAGAAGTTAATATGCGGCTCCTTGTATAGGCATCGACTCCGGGGCTGATGCTACAGGTGCCAACTTTCCAAGGGGGGGAGGTGCTCACTGCTCAACCCCTGGCTCTGCCACAAGCCCTGCCCCCACTCCACTGCTTCCTGCCCCCACCCCTCAGCCTGCCGTGCCCTCGCTCCTCCCCCCTAGAGCCTCCTCCATCCCAAGAAACAGCTGATCAGGAGGTGCAGGGAGGAAGGGGGAGGCGCTGATCAGCGGGGCAGCAGGCGGGCGGGAGGAGGCACTGGGAGCTGGGCGGGGAGCTGATGGGGGCTGCTGACATATTACTGTAGCTCTTTGGCAATGTACAGTGGTAAATTCTGGCTCCTTTTCAGGCTCAGGTTGGCCACCCCAGCACTATAGTGTACCATAAAATAGTCACATAAAGCCATTTGAAATGTAATCAGAATATAATGAAAATTGCATAAAAGATCATGTCACACACAAAAAATCAGCATCGGTAGGTTACATTAAATGTCATTCCCATCACAACTTGCCCAGAGAAATAAATATAATTAAACCTTTCCTGGAAAAAAAAACAGTTTATACATTATTATATGAATGGTATCAGTAAGGTAGACTACAAGAGGCAAGCTCATTTGGAACTATGCACTGTGTAGTGGCTATCTGTGACCTGGTAATCTATGACCAAATTCTATTACTGCACCACCGTCTCAGATATAATATATCAAAAAGTTCAAGTCACTTAACTGTGCACTGGCTGCAACTTAGCCCTGCCCTGCGGTATAAAGTTAAGCCCCTCCAGCGGCCCAGACTTGCTTTACTTATTCAAAAAAGGAAACCCCTTGAAACACAAAGGATCCTCACATTATGTAACAGATCAAGCAAGTGAGTGTCTGACCTGGGGGTGGAGTCAAACTACTTACTGTTTCCCATGCATAAAGTCGTAAGAAAATAGCACTCACCTTTTTGGTACAGTTTTCACACTTCATCTGTGAGTCTTCGTATTACTTTTTGGTATGTATGTCTATTCAATGTTTAAAGGTGATTTTCTTTCTACAGAAGAGTGTTGATTCTCTTTATTCTACAGGCAGAGGAAGAACGGAGGAAGCAGAGGGAGGAGTTCAATGACTCTGCTTGTCAGCTCTCTGCAATAATAAAGGCACAAAGAGCAAGAAATTAGCCCAGCTCCCCCTTCCAATTCCTGTTGCCTTTTGTTGTTATTATTATTGGCCTACTGCCCTCTTATGGCACGCCTCCTGATTGGCACTTTCAAAAGCCATCGAGATGCCCGGGAGTGGGAGGGTCTGACTGCATAGCACCCAATTCGGTCTTCCTGTGGGTGGGAAGGACCTTTAGATTCATAGATTCAAGGACTGGAAGGGACCTCGAGAGGTCATCGAGTCCATTAGCTTCTTCAGACTCTATAATGGAGCGGTTTTACAAAAAATAATTATCACACCACACGTTAGAGAATTTGCTTACATTGTAATGCGCAACAAATACCGCAGAGGAAAAGCTTTTAGGAAGATCAGTGGGCTGGATGCAGGGCCTGCAACCAGCATGATTAATGGCTTTAGTATTGTACAGAAACATTCCCTTCCCCCACCTCCTTGACATGCTTAGAATACAAATCTGTAACCCATGATTCTGATTCATGTTCATGCTGTAGATTCTGGCAGCGAATACATGTTGCTCTGGGGGTCGGGGACTTTGGTCATCCCTGTATTTTGCACAGTGGTAGCAAGCTTTGACACTACATGCAATTGATGCGAAATGAACATGCAAAACAAGGGTGGTAAAAGGGGTCACCCCTGCACAAGCAGAAGAGACTGTATCTTGCTCTAAGAGGAGACTTGGGACACTGCTTCTCGAGGGAAAACGCAGCTCTCTTCTTAATAATGGTGGGAGTGCTCCATAGACAGTGCCGGTGTAGACTCTGTCTTGCAGGAACATCAAAATGGGGGGGAACAACAGGTTCACACCGCCGCAATGGAGGAGGAAAAACTGCTTTTGATTTGAGTCTCGTGAATGTGGTGGCGCCTCATTCTCTGCTTAAGTGTTTAATAGCCCCCCCTTTTAATCACACACACAAACCTCTCTTCTCTTATCCCAGTGATTACACAAATCGCTCCCTGTGGGGCACCTTAAGCCTTGAATTCTGATCATTTGCAATGAAACGATTCATGATTCTCACTACCATCATCGATTTTTTTTCGCAAAGTCAGCACAAGGCTAACAATTTCCCACTGTCACAACCGCAGTACATTGCTTGGCACCCAGATGCAGAACAAAGGGGGGAAATCTAACATTTTTTATGTCTATACAAACACACAGACGTGCTATCACAAGCTGTAACAAAATAACCACCATGCAGCTAAAGGAATGAAAGAGAAGACTGAGAAAGGAAGGGAAAAGAATGAGATACTGTACCTTGCTGCTTGCTTCATTTAACCTATAGTAAATTATGTCCTGGCTGGTAGAAATAAAACAGCATGAGGTAAAGTCTGGAGCATGTTGCGGCTATTAAAGAGATCCATGTATATATTAGGGGAAAAAACTAGGCGACAAGGGTAGGGAGTCAAGCACAGGCTCCAGAAAAAGAAGCGAAGTGCTCTTCTTTTTCACCTATTATTTAATGTAAATTCTTTCTGTCCTGCTTGTGCCCTGAGCGGCTCCCCCGGCAGCCTCTACTCCCTCCCTCCCACTCAGTTAGAAGTGTTCATTGTAGACCTGAGCGCTGTCACGTAGTCCCAGGCACTTATCTGGAACTGCAAGGGACAGCGCCTCTCTGCTGCAGAGGAGGTAAAGGTAACGCCTCATTCTCACAGCTCGGCTAGGACAGAGTGGGGGCAACAACAGCAAAGAAGCTTCAAGACTGACATTCACACGTTGCTAAAGGGCACTGCTTTGTTTGTACACACTTCACCACTCCATACAGGATATGCTTTTCTAGCGCCTCAAAAGCAGAAACTAACGTGAAGTTCCACAGATCTCCTTGAGTTTTTTTGTGTTAAGACATTCCTATATTAATTGAGCTTTTTGTGTTGCTTTTTTTCACCATGACTATTAAAAAGAAACAAGAGAGCTTATCTCAAACTATAGTACCTACATTGTAGACTGACTTGCCCCGAGCCTGAAGGCTGTGCCTACTGTGCATATATTGATTTCAATAAACAATAAATGAACACAACTGCACTATTTGTTTGTGTCTTCCTTGAGACAAATAGAAATTGCTTCTATATTTTGTTCACTTGCAATAACAAAAATTGCAGAAAAGCGGCTTTGCCCACACCCTGCAGTGAGAAGGGAAGCTGTTTGTAGACTGTATTTGGCCCTTTTGGTGTCCCAAGCATAATTTAAAGTGCTGTTATAAATCAGAAAATAGCCAACAGTGGAAACATGTAAACTGTAATTATGCACAGTAGTATGGAGCCTCATATATCCTCTGCATGACAACTGTACTCACATTCCCTTTAAGGAGACAGTTAACATTAATGGCAAGTCATTGACATACAGAGAGATTTGAATAGCTTTTCCTGCTGTTCTTGAGTTTGTTTGTATGTAATATTCAACAATTACACATGGGCAAAACTGCATTCTTCTTTCCTTTTATTTTTTTCCCCTCTGAGTTTCTCTCTAAGACAGCTCCTTCTGGATTTAGGAAGGTTATGGAAAAATCATATTACTACAGCTAAATACAATGCAAATGATAATTTCCTGTTTCTATAACTCTGGTTTTCATGATTTAGTAAGCACAGTACATGTGATTTTACATGTTTCACTTCTCTTTTGTGACCTTTTACATTTTAAAGGCTAAAAAGTGACAATGACCTTGAATCTGTTTTTATTCAGATCCCAACTGGAAGCCTCAGCTATAATGGTATTATTTACCACAAAAGTTTTCCTTCCCAAAACAGCAGATATACCCAACTCCATGAAAAAGACTTCTACAATTTAAACTGCAGATCCTTATGCACCTGGATCACAGGTTCAGTATTTTCAGACATTAATACAAAGGTCAAATTCAATATTGGGATCTCTTTTCCATTTTATCCTTTAAAACAAACAAACAAACAAACAAACAAAAAAACCATGCAGCTATGCACATCTGTGCAGGAACATAAGAATGGTCATACTGGGTCAGACCAATGGTCCATCTAGCCCAGTATCCTGTCAATGTACTTCAGAAGGAATGAACAGAATAGGTAATCATCAAGTGATCCATCCCCTGTAGCCCATTCCCAGCTTCTGGCAAACCCTTCAAGCTTATGCTCAACTTCAGAGACTGTGCATTGTGGGAATTTAGTGAGGCGGTGGGCTACCCCACAGCTCCGCTGAGGGCCGAACCTCCCCTAATACCAACGTGGGCGGAGCCACCGGGTCCGGCGCCCACCCCTCCGAGGTCACGGCCCCGACCCGGAAGTATAAAAGCCCGCCTGCAGAGCTTAGGGGAGCCTAGGCTGGTGGAGAGAGCAGATGTCTGTGGCCGAGCTTCTGCTTGGGAAACAGCTGCAGGCTGCGACCGGCCTGCTGACTCACCGGGCCAGCCGAGCCTACCTCTCGCCCGCTACCCCGAGGAGGACTGGCCGAGCCTACTCTGTGCCAGCTACCCCAAGGAGGAGCTGAGCCTGCCCTTCGCTACCTACCCAGAGGAGCCAATGCTGGTGGAGAGCACCGACGACACTAAGACGGCCCAGGTACCATACGAGGGGGAGTGTGGAAGTAGCCCGGGGGCAGCCGACCCCAGTCTGGCTGCTGCACTGCCAGAGCCGATGTCCGTGTGTTGCAGCCAGGATCCCCACTGACAGCAGCGAGTTTCTGCTGCTCCTAGGGCCCTGGGCTGGGATGCAGTGGAGTGGGAGGGCCTGTGTCCCCCCTGCCACCCACTCCTTGGGTGGCAGACTCCCCCTTTTTCCCCTGGCCTAGAGAGGCTGGGTACCTGCTTGACTATTGGCTTGCTGCCCCGCCCTGACCTAGAGCCTGGGCTGCCACAAACTGACTCAGCCCCTGCCCAAGGGCCGGGGTTTCTGATTGCCTATTTAATTGCTGCCTCGCTCTGACCTAGGGCCTGGCCTGCTTACAGGCCTGAGCCCTAACTGTGTGTCTGTTGTCCCAGACTGCCGCCGGACCCGGACGGACGGCGGACTGTAGCGAGGCAGTGGGATACCCCACTGCCCCACTGAGGGCCGAACCTCGGCCAACACTTCTACAGGGAAGTAGTACTTCCTTTTGTTTGTTTAAAACCTGCTGCCTCTTAACTTCATTGGGTGACTCCTGGTTCTTGTAAAAACCTAAGGTACAAATTTACAGACTAATTTTGGGTCTCTCTGTTTTTGGTGTCCAACCTGAGACATCTGTGACCCCAGACATTTATGGCCAGAGGTGCCAGTATTTGCATTTCCCATTGCCTTTATTAGGAGTCATGAATTTTTGGCACTTCTGAAAATCAAGCTAGGATGTCTCACATTGGGGGTCCTGAAACTGAGGCATCCAAAATCAGTGGCCACTCTTGAAAATGTTAAGTGAATGTTACTGTACTCATACTGCGGGACTGGCACACAGCTCAGTTTGAGGTGTTATTTTCACAGCTGTGACAGTCAGCATTTCCTATGTTTCTGCCATCTCTATCCCAGATGCTGTCACATTCTATTTTACTCTCTTAATGTCATTTTTTTCCCCTACGGATATCACACTCAGTCTGCAGCTGTGAACCGTGTTTGAAGTTAGAAGTAAGTCTCTAAACATCTCAAGACTAGGAATTATTAAAGGGGGGCACTCCTCATGATATTTTCAGTTTGTGAAAGGGTTTCCTGATCCTTAGATGATCGTCTCCAAAGTTGGCACAATGATTCTTCCACAGTCAAACTAAATTATATATTTTTAAATTAAATATTTATTAACTTTTGCAGAGGAAATATTAAAGAATACTGTACTCCCATTTTTGAAATGTTTCTGTTTCCCTCATATGTCTTTGGATTCCTATAGTAACACAGCCACAATCCACATAAAAACTGCAAGCTTCACACAAACACATTTTGATAACCTCTTGGACACAGGCTACTTTTGACACTTTATAATTACACCGTTATTCCTCTACTCCAAGAACATATACATAGATTTCCCCAAGATCAGCTGATTCAACTGCTAAGAACCATCAGCTACTTTTGACTCTGCATGTGCACCTAGTGAGCTGGATTTGGGGAGGATGGCAATCTGGCTGAGAAGAGACTATAGGAGGAGGGTGTTGCTTATGAGGGAGAGAGCGGACTCTAGGAAAGCCAACAGAGATGTGGAGGACAGGCAGAGTTGAATGGATCTTAAAGGTTGAGTCAGGCTTTAGAAGGGGCAGGAGGGTTAACAGGGATGTGCAAGGCAAGGGTGCCTGATGGAGAAATCCTGTGTCTCTGTGCTGAGGCATTAACACTTGAAGGGATCCCCTGGCATTGATGCCTCTACTCCCTGGCACACTTAGTTAGGCTGCAGAACCGTGGAGAACCTTCATGCATCAATACGTTGACCCATAAAGGTTTGGCACTCCTGGTCACTACTGCCTCAGCTCTCTGGAGCACCAGTCAGTAGCACCATGAAGGCAGAGGGTATTTGTATTAAGCCATCATCACATCAAGTGGCAAGTGCTCCTTTCAGTGCTGCTACCTTCCTGTGGAAGAAGTAGAAGCAGCAGTACTGAGTGCACCCTTTAAGTGCCAGTGCCTTCATGCAGAGGCATTGGGCTACCCCACACTGCTTGTATAGCTTTGCCCACCCCACCCCATCCACAATCTCCCAACTCCTCCATACCTAATTTCCTCTCTTGCTCCCCACTTACCCAGTCACCCCTGGGCTCTACCAGCTTCCCATTCACCCATGTCCAGCTGGAATCACATGTGAGAGAACTTGTTAAAAGCAGCCCATACCAAACCAGCAGTCTGAGTTGTCAGTAGCCGCTTTCCCCACAGGGAAGAATACTTTGAAAATTGTAAAAGGGGCAAATTTACGTTTTCACCCCTCACAACTGTCAGTTGGTTCAGGAACTGAAGAAAAGAACCTATCATGGAGTATGATATTGAGCCAATTAGAAATCTTCAAGGTGCTCTAGCCCTTGAAAGTATATCTGTTATATGAAACTGTAGAACAAACATTGCAGCAGGCAGGAAGACAGAACACTAAATTGTGGACATGAAAGAGAATTTTACTGGGTTCAATCCTCAATGATCCCAGTCCTGCACTTCTTAATGGGAATTTTGCCTGAGTAAGGAGTGCAGGAACAGGACTTATGCATGTGCATTTTCTTAATTATAAATTAATGGGGATAACAAGTTTTACAGTGCAGCATCGGTTTTATTAGTAGAATTAATTCTAACGGTCTCATTAAACCTAGAAGAGTAGGCAGAGGGAGACTTTTTTTTCCTTATTTCATGGTAGGATCATTATTCAGTTCACTTTATAGACTGTCAATTAATGATTTTCTATTTAGGCTATTTGCCTTCCACAAGTGAATATTGTACTATGAAGATTCATAGATTCCAAGGCCAGAAGAGACTACAGTATTGTGATTATCTAGTCTAACCTCCTGTATAACATGGGCCATAACTTCCCAAAATAATTTGTAGAGCAGGTCTTTAGAAAAACATCCAATCTTAATTTAAAAATTGTCAGTGATGGAGAATCCACCAAACCCCTTGGTAAGTTGTTCCAATGGTTAATTATTCTTAATGTCAAAAATTTACACCATTTTTCCAGTCTGAATTAGTCTAGCTTCAACTTCTAGTCATTGGATCATGAAGAGTCCATTATCAAATTTTTGTTGCTTATGTAGGTATCAATAGACTATAACCAAGTCACCCCTTAACCTTCTCTTTGTTAAATAGATTGAGCTCCTCAAGTTTATCACTATAAAGCATGTTTTCCAATCCTTTTAATCATTCTTGTGGCTTTTTACCCTTTGCAATTTATCAACATCCTTCTTGAACCACCAAATCTTTTTCAGTCAATGCTTCCCAGTATAGAGTTTCCCACCCCAGAAGTCTGGTCTACATTCTTTGTTCCTAGATGTATATACATTTACATTTAGCCATATTAAAAAGCATATTCTTTGCTTGCGCCCAGTTTACCAAGCAATCCAGATCACTCTCTGTGACCTATCATCTTCATAATTTACCGCTCCCACAATTTTTGTGTCACCTGCAAACTTTGTCAGTGATGATTTTGTGGTTTCTTCCAAGTAATTAATACAAATGTTAAATAGTGTAAAACCAAGAGCCAGTCCATGCGGGATCCCATTGGACACATACCTGTTTGATTCTCTGTTTAGAATTACATTGAGACCTATCAGCTAATCAGCATTTAATCTGTTTAATGTGTGCCATGTTAATTTTGTATCGTTCTAGTTTCTTTAATCAAAACATCTTATATACCAAGTCAAACACCTTACAGAAGCCTACATATATTATATCAACATTACCTTTATCAACCAAACTTATACATTTAATTAAAGATATCAAGTTAGTTAATAGGATCTATTTTCCATAAACTCATACTGATTGGTATTTATTATAGTAATATAATTAATTCCATATCAGCCACTTCATTATGTTGCCCAGGACTGATATCAGAGTGACAGGCCTATAATTACCCAGGTCATCCTGTTTACCCTTCTTAAAAATTAGCACAATATTAGCTTTCTTCCAATATTCTAGAATTTCCCTAGTATTCCAAGACTTATTGAAAATCAACATTAATGGCCTCAGTTAGCTCTTTAAAAACTCTGCTGATTTAAAAAAGTCTAGCTTTAAGATCTCGTTTGCATAAATTTATTATTTTATCCTAAATTATAAGGTGTAATTTTCTTCCCTAAACAAAAACTTTAGGTCAGATTTTAAGCAATAGACAGGAAGAGTAAAGAGAGATAATGGATTAAGAAATGTCTGAGGAATCAGTAAAAAAACAACAAGGAGTCTGGTGGCACCTTAAAGACTAACATATTTATCTGGGCATAAGCTTTCGTGGGTAAAAACCTCACTTCTTCGGATGCAACACTTCTTGCCTTGCACATCCCTGTTAACCCTCCTGCCCCTTTAAGGTGCCACCAGACTCCTTGTTGTTTTTGTAGATACAGACTAACACGGCTACCCCCGATACTTGAGGAATCAGTCTTTGTCAAAGCACACTATTAATAGTTATACTGATTTTAAAAATACTAGAGAATTATCAACCCCTAGCATTAAAAAATCATGAGTCATTCCCCCCCCAAAAGCCATGAGATTGGCTTTAAAATCATGAGATGTACAAAAATAATAATTTTGGGATTCTTATTATTTGCCTTCTGGTTTTGGAGACTTATGGTTTGCATTTTTAAGCTTTTCTACATAACCATGAGGACTAGAAACATATTTATAAAAATATATAAGATGAGATCACCACATAATATCATGACTCCAGGAGCTGGGGGTTTAAGAAAAACATGAAATATTGCAAGACATTTGATAAAATGACAAGAAGTGGCAACACTGATAAAATTTAGCATTCGCTTAAAAGTGCAAAACAAAATGTACTGTTTCTAATAAAAATTCACAAGGTATAGTAGCCTAATTTCTTCTACTGGACTAACAGAAAGTGTTTGCATGAATACACATCTTTGAACCAAAGATGTGCTGTTATCTATCTCCAAATTCATGCACAAGTGTCTGTCTATATATAGAAACAGAGATATTAACAGCAATCCTAGAAAAGCAGTGTTTTTTAGTGGTTAGCATAAGGAACTAGGAGTCAGGATTCATGGGTTCTATTCCCAGCTCTGTGACCTCCTGGGGCTTTGTTTTCCTCATCTCTTAAATAGAGAACAATACGCACCTCCATAGGGTTGTGAAGCTCAGTCAATGCACATAAAGTACTTTGGGATGGCAGGTGCTATAAGTGTAAGCTATTATGTGGTCACCGTCAATGACACTATGGGGTCTCTTAGTCTCCTTGGTAGCTGTATAATGCATGCACCAGTGCCAGCATGTGGCCAGATGCTATGCTACAGTGACAGCTGTGGTGTGTATACTCTGGGCAGCCCTGTTCAGTCATAGCACAAACAATAGGAGCAGCTGTTTAGGCCCCAGTTTCCCATGCAAGCTCTGAAATTCTTGCTCTGTTACCTCCTAGGTCGGAAGAGTCACTCACCAGCACATTTCTCACTGTCTCCAACCACAGCAGGTTTCAGAGTAGCAGCCGTGTTAGTCTGTATCAGCAAAAAAGGGGAGTCCTTGTGGCACCTTAAAGATTAACAAATTTATTTGGGCATAAGCTTTCGTGGGCTAGAGCCCACTTCATCAGATGCATGAAGTAAAAAATACAGGGGCAGGTATAAATACGTGAAAGGATGGGGGTTGCTTTACCAAGTGTAAGGTCAGTCTAAGGAGATAAATCAATTAACAGCAGGATACCAAGGGAGGAAAAATAGGTCCTGGTCCACTGCCTGGACCTCACCAGCTGTGAGAACTGAAGACTAACCTTACTCAACAAAACCATCCTCCTCCCTCCAGGAGTCTCCCTGGCTCTACAGTGTTAACCAATATGGCCTTCACTGCAAGAGTGCCTCAGCCACCATCTTGGAGTTGGGTAGTAGCTGTAAGACCTTCACTTAACAGTCCATCTTGGATTTGGGCGGGAAAGAGTTAACGTAAGACGCCATCTTGGATTTGGGCAGCTGTAAAACCTTAATTTAACACGCCATTTTGGATATGGGCGGAAAGGATTTAAAGTTGGTCGCCATCTTGGATTTAGGCACCAAGCCTATACACAGAAGTTAGTGGGTATTTTCGCGGGGGGGAATTACTTTTGCCCGAAGTAAAAATGGCCGCCGAAGTTCCGGCGCTATTTACGTATCGACACTCTAGCGCGCGGTGTTCAATCTCTTCTGTGATCGGGGAGGGCGCTCGGGTCCAACGACTCTATGGTGTGGCGCCTCCCGTCCGGATTCGGGAAGTAAAGTCCGCGGCGAGTCCCGTTTGATGCGCGTCCGTGTGGGGCCGCGCTGCTGCGGGAAGGAACCGGTCAGTGACGGTGCTGCTTCCCTTCCCAGCGTGCGGGGGGATGGGAGTGAGGCGGGTGTAGGGGGTGCGGGGCTGGGATTTGCGGGGATTGTACAGAGTGGGGAGCTGGCATTTTAGGGGGCCGGAGGAGCAGGCTGCATGCGGTGGGGATGGGCGGTGAGGTGGTGGGCAAACTCCATTGTCTGATTAGTGCATCAGAGGGGAGCTCAGTCCAAGCACATCTTTCCCTTTCTTCTTGTTGAGGCAACTGAGGCTGGGGCGAGGAGCAGGAATTAATTACCAACGGAATGTTGATAAAACGACAAGAGCTGCAGTATAATAATAGGATGGGGAAGGAATCATGTGGCACCCCCGCTATTTTCTAGTGAATTATAGAACAAACACAAAACAGTGACTCCTCTGCAGTTCCAGACTAAAATATTTTCCACCTAGCATCTGCAGGGAAAGATGAAGAACTTGCTTTGGGTCACGTTGAGTTTCAGTTGACAGCTGGACATGTGCCAGGAGATGTTAGAAAGACTGGGCTAAGATTTGATTTGGAGGGAGACCGATTCAGAGCAGAGAGGTAAAAGGGGCGGAATGATTCTGTATTAGCAGAAATTAATGCAGGATCGTGACTCAGCTTTGGCTGTTTCACTGTCAGGTTCCTATGCACGTGCTGCTAGGAAGTATTTGAATCATGTCCATGGAATGTTTTCATTTAAATTAAAAAAAAATCATGAATATATTTCTGTTTAGCTTTTATAATTTTTTAAAAACTAAACTTTGTGTCTAAAGTAACCCACAGTAAAAGTATGCTTCATGCAGTATCTCAGAACAACAGGATGAGTAAGGAAGCAAGATTGGGCCATTTCTGTCTTCTCAGAACCTAGTTGTGCATGAGGCTGTCTGGCTCTGTTTGCTTCGTAATGTCGATTTAAAGCACTGTTGAGTGAGTTGTAAGGGATGTAGAATCCTGTAATGTAGGCAGATAACATTCACTGAAAGCCAAATTTCCGCTAACTGATGCTGCAGACATAGGAATTGTTAGTTCAGTAATGTAATAATGATACCTATAAGGTCTGATCCTGAGAGGTGCTGAGCAGGCACAATTCTTATTGAGTTCAATAAGAATTGTAAGTGCTCAGGATCTCCCAGGATAAAAGAACCATATAATGCTTTCAAGCCAATGATCCCAAAGCACTTTACAAATAAAACGACTCACAACACACTTATGGGGAAGCTCAGTATTATTTTAGAGTTGCATAAATGGAAAGGTTAAGCGGCTTGCCCAAACTCTCCCAGTGACTGAGTGGCGGAGCCAGAAATACAACCCAGGAATCCTGACAGCCTCCAGCTCTAACCATTAGATGTACTGCCTCCACATGGTACTGCATTATGTCATGCCGTGTCAGCTTTGCAGTAACAGCTAGAGTTCTTTCATCTGAGAAAGGGTGAGAATGCAGTAAGTCTTTAAGGCCACTTAAAGTAAGAAAAGTGTCTGGTTTATATACTACTTGATTTGCTTGCAATTGCCTTAAGGATGTAGTTTGTTTCACCAAATAATCATAGAACTGGAAGGGACCTAGAGAGGTCATCTAGTCCAGTCCTCTACACCCAAGGCAGGACTAAATTATCTAGACCATACCTGACAGGTGTTTGCCCAACCTGCTCTTAACAATCCCCAATGATGGAGATTCCACAGCCTCCCTGGCCAATTCATTCCAGTGCTTAACCACTCTGACAGGAAGTTTTTCCTAATGTCCAACCTATACCTCCCTTGCTGCAATTTAAGCCCATTGCTTGTTGTCCTATCCTCAGAGGTTAAGAAGAACAATTTTTCTCCCTCCTCCTTGTACTGACCTTTTATGTACTTGAAAACTGTTATCATATTCCCTCTGTCTTCTCTTCTCCAGACTAAACAAACCCAATTTTTTCAATCTTCCCTCATAGGTCATGTTTTCTAGATCTTTAATCATTTTTGTTGCTCTTCTCTGGACTTTCTCCAATTTGTCCACATATTTCCTGAAATGTTGCACCCAGAACTGGACACAATACTCCAGTTGAGGCCTAATCAGCGCAGAACAGAGTGGAAGAATTACTTCTCGTGTCTTGCTTACAATACTCCTGCTAATACATCCCAGAATGACGTTTGCTTTTTTTGCAACAGTGTTACACTGTTGACTCATATTTAGCTTGTGATCCACTATGACCCCCAGATCCCTTTCTGCAGTACTCCTTCCTAGGCAGTCATTTCCTATTTTGTATGTGTGCAACTGATTATTCCTTCTTAAGTGGAGTACTTTGCATTTGTCCTTATTGAATTTCATCCTATTTACTTCAGACCATTTCTCCAGTTTGTCCAGATAATTTTGAATTTTAATCCTGTCCATCAAAGCATTTGCAACCCCTTCCTGTTTAGTATCGTACACTCTATGCCATTATCTAAGTCATTGATGAAGATATTGAACAGAACCAGACCCAGAACCGATCCCAGCGGGACCCCACTCATTATGCCCTTCCAGTATGACTGTGAACCACTGATAACTACTCTCTGGTAATGTGAGTAAAGGTAATGTGTGCAGTAAGTAGGATCATCTGTCTTCTAGATGACACTCTTGGGGAAGGCTGCACAACACTTTTCCTCTCTCCTTTACATTTAAGTAATACCAAGATTGTGACACAAACCAACCAAATAGAGGAAATTCACAGTTAATGCTGGTATACCATCCACAGCCTGTTCTGCTGGGCCTACTAAAAATGTTGTGGCATACATGGTATTTCATAAAAATAATGTGATCCCATCTCCCCTTCCATGGGTTGTGGCTGTGTATTCATCACCATAATGAAGAACAGTTTGAAAACCATATTGTCCTTTTCCCCCAGTCCCTCTCCCCCCCCCTAACTAGTTCTCCACTAGAAGAGACATTTTAAACCTTCTGGAAAGCTATCCCCATTGTTGTCTCCTCCTCAGTGGTAATCCATCCTGACCAAATCAGTCCTGCCCTCACACGTCCTGCTGGACCCCTAATCTAAATCCTTTACTATGCTTGTGCTGAAGTCACCATAGGTAGAACAGAGTGTGTGTTTGGAAGCCGCAATTGCTCAAAGATTAAAATAATTTCTTGCCGTGGTTATTTGATGAAAATGATTTGTCCAGTCTTAATGTTTATAATTAATGCCTCTCTTCTCTCCTAATTCCCACCATCTTTTTCAATGTGTGTTGGGCCTAGTTTCTGGTTGAGGAGGGCTGCATATGGCTGTCTACAGTACCACTCAGTTACATTCCTGAGTTTGCTGTAGGTATAGCTTAGTGCCTTGTGAAGTGTTTCTTCCCATTTGGGCTGATCCTGCAGCGCTCCCAACCCTAGAGTGAGGGACTGAGTCGTGAAATTCTGTGTTGTAGTGTGCTGCCTAGTCCTGCTTTGGCTGCTGGGTTGAACCATTATTGTTGCCCTTTCCTGTCAGCTGAAGAAATGCTTTGTAAAAACTTACCACTCTCTTTCTATTGCTTTTCTTTTCTCCTTAGTTCACAATTGCTAGTTGATGCGCTGCTAATTTTATTTTGACAGCCAGTTTTGGAAACTCTTCTAAGGATATTGCTTATGCTAGGAATGAAGGGAACCTTAATGAAAGAATGAGACATTTCTTACAGGGTTCAAACCTTTGTTAGTCTTGTTTTGCAAGTCTCCATGGTGATTATTGTACAGGGTCATAAATGTGCATGGTATTTTACATGTAAGTAGAACACCATATCCCTGCCCTGGATAGATTATAATCTAGATCAGGGATCGGCAACCTTTGGCACATGGCACGCCAGGGTAAGCCCCTGGCGGGCTGGGCCAGTTTGTTTACCTGCCGCATCTGCAGGTTCGGCTGATCGTGGCTCCCACTGGCTGCAGTTCGCTGCTCCAGGCCAATGGGTGCTGTGGGAAGCAGTGGCCAGCACATCCCTCGGCCCACTCCGCTTCCCGCAGCCCCCATTGGCCTGGAACGGTGAACTGCGGCCAGTGGGAGCTGCGATTGCCACATCTGCAAATTTGGCCAGGTAAACAAACTGGCCCGGCCCACCAGGGGGCTGGCCCGGCCCACCAGGGGGCTTACCCTGGCATGCTGCGTCCCAAAGGTTGCAGATTCCTGGTCTAGATTGACATGACTGAAGGTTAACAAATATTGGGGCATAGAAAGGAAGGACAAAGGGTACAGCAATAACTTGTAAGTTCTTACTCCTTTTCATTGTCCAGCTAGGTTTCATGAGTGTTACTAGGCTGTAGGGAATTTCTCCTGAAGATGTACATGTTGCTTGAAAACCGCACAAGTTCCATTCTGCATTTGAAGAGATCACCTGGCATCAGATCTTGGTCTCTCTTTGTTGGTAAGACACTGATGATTCTTCTCCATAAGTGAAGAGATGAATGAGTAACTTGGACCTGCTTTTCCTAGGCTTGTATTTTTATGCCAGCCACAAATAGTGTGTATAGGTCTAAATCCATTTAAATGTATGTTTTAAGGGAAGTGGGTTACAAATGTTTCCTGAGAGAAACCTCATTAAAATGACTTGTAAGATTTCTGGGAAGTATTATTTTGGGAAGGTGAAATCACTTCAACTTTAGTCTCCACTGACCCTTATGGATAGCATGAAGACACAGCTGACTATCCATAAACCCTTGGGGAGAAATCCTGGGCGCGCTGAATTCAGCAGCAAAATTCCATTTACTTAAATGGGCCCAGGATTTCACCTCTGGCATTTAGATAACGTTTCTTGTCTACTGTGTAGACGTAAAGTATGAAGCCTCCTGCAAATTAGGTATGGTGTTTCTATCCCTCTTTTACATATGGGGAAACAGAATCAAAGAGTGGGTAAGTTGTTTGCCCAAGGCTACACTGAGAGTTGGTGGTAGAACTCAGGAGATCCTGGTTCCCAATTCTATTTCCCAGTCAAATAGACCATACTGCCTTTTAATACTGTAAACACATTTTGTTAAACTGACAGCCTGGGTCCACATTATAATTGAAGTAAGCCATTCCAGTGCATGAGGAATCGTCCAACAATTTTCTTGGATATGTGACAGCACTTGGCAACCTCTATGACACAGGTGTACCCCAATAGTGCATGCACAGGTTTCTGTTGGTCCCACAGAGCATGGTAGTCTATCTTGCAGCTAAGAATAGCCTTTTTAATATGCATGTCCTCAGTACTCAAAGTAGTGCTGTCCTTGGGTGGAAACAAGGTTTAATGGTTAGCCTTGCTGGGAGTTGGAGCACCTGGTTCTGTTCCTGATTCAGTCACTGTCTTGCTGCCTGACCTTAGGCAAGCCACTTTTTCCTATCTGTGCCTCAGTTTCCCCATTTTTAAAAATTGGGTATAATTATATGAAAGAGAATTATATTTTATTTAATAAGAAATGCTTTATTTGCTCTCTACATTGAGTGATGTTAACAATCAAAAGGAACAGCAAAGCTGC